TGGGTACCTCATCTTTTTATTCCGTTCACTTTACATTGACAAAGAAAATGGGAACCTATCTATGCACTGCTATCACGTGACGTAAATACGCTGTTTTCGACCAGTCACCTACCATAACATGTCAAACATTTTTACGTCCGGTCGTATTTCCGGTCGGTCGTATCGTCATTGTATCCCTCGACCGGTCGTGAGAACTGTCCGCGGTACCTCCCTTAATGACTATATCGGCCATGCCTTCTATCAACGTTAATTTATATGCAGCTCTTAAGTAGGCAGTTAATGTCTGGTGGGGCTATCGCCTGCTGTCTCTGACCGATTGTATAGGTGGTGTGTCGAATTCCCCCCTCCCCCTTTCTGTTTAGCGTTTCCGCGTTACTACATTTGCATCAGGCATAGCGATGCCTCATGCGTACCGTCTTATCTGAGTGTAGTCGTGGGATGCTCCTGGGCGAACTCGGCATCTTTGCTGTGGTGCCAGTAGTCATCCTCCTCCATTTGCTTGTTCATTCATTTGCTGTTAGGCCAAAACAAAATATAGGTGTGGTTACCGTTTCATGCTGAAAAAAAATCGGGTAGGTAAGTAGGGAAAACATTTTATTTTATTGAAACATTTTATTTACGAACCATGTTCGAAGGATGTGCGTTGTGCTTTTTGAAGCAGGAACTGTCCAATTCATTTTTTTATTTTATTTTTTTATTTTAAAGAAAATTGACAATAAAATGTTTAGGGTCGCTGGGAATAAATAGGGTCGGTTGGGAAACGGTAACCACACCTATATTTTGTTTTGGCCTTATGGCATTCCAGCCTCTGTAGTCCTCATCTGTCATCACTGCTGCTAATTTCAACTCTGTGCAGTCTCAGTTAACCGTACCGCATGATATTACCTTAAAAGGTTTTCAAATCAACTTGTATCGTTTTAATGGCTCATATATACAGTGGTGGGCGATTGAAGTATCTTGAGTATAGGCGTGTGTGACATGAGTAGCACCCATTGTATAGGAATGGTAGTTGAGCAGGAGATGAAATTGTCCTCCAGTGGTGTTAAACCGGCGACCATGTAAGTGTAACTGAGTAATTGTATTGTTATATTCTTCATTTGCAGGACGAACTGCAGAAGGCCAAGACTGTGATAATGCCAGTAAATGTAGGAAACAGTACCACTGGACACTTTGGGTATGACACTTTAATAATAACAAAAATCATTAGTAGCCTAGATTCAGATTCTAGATATACTGGGAGTCATTTTAATTGCAAACGTGGTTTATTATAAATGTATCTTTTATGCCACTGTAGTATTTGTTTATTATCTTGCTATTTCTGAATTGCAGTAATTGCATGCGTTGCGCATGTCGCAAAATGTTGCTGGACGGTGACATGTCGTGTCATGTCGTGTGACATGTGACATGTGACAAGTGACATGTCGTGCTTTTATGGCTAGTAATAATTTACTTCAGGGCATTTCTACGTGGAAAGTCGCTTAGAAAGGGGACGTGGTGCGTGGAGGATGTGGGGAGGCAGACACAGAAGGATACATCATCATGTGGGGTGTTTATTTGCAAGGTGAGATAATCCACTTCTCATGCACCATTTCATAAAATCTTCTCTGATAAAGAAAAATAAATCAGTTGCTAGCGGAACTGAAATTTTTAGACGTATATACAGTGATATATAGAAATAATAGACATATCTCAACTGCTGTGAGACCAGTTACTTGGTGACATAAAAGACAAAATATAAGACGCTGGTATATGTACTGCTATATCAAACTCGCAACTGAACTGGTGTGAAACAAGTTACTGGAGCCATTGAATTGAACACACGACCCTATCACCTTTTTGCCTAACAGACTACCAAAAATGTGTAACCATTACCCCCACAATCAAGAAAAGTTGAAAAGAATTAATAAATTCGATTGTGTAAACCTACAGAGCATGTTCGTTTATATCGATAGATTGTTTATGATAATTGAAGCATCGATCAACTTTTTTTTACTGAAAGTAAATAGCGTAAATTCAGCTTAAACTTAACCCTAACTTAATGTTTAGCTACTATGAATGTACATGGATCTGATTTTAGGTTTGACCTGCGTAGGCTATTGAAATTGCCGCTAGGTCAAGTATACATTAGGACCCTAGTCTGCAATGATAGCAGGTTTGGTTAGGGTTATAGCTCAGTGAAAAAAATACACGGGGGCTCGGGGCGATTTAGCCCCCGAAATGCCAAAAAGAGCCCCGGAAATGGCAAAAAGAGCCCCCGGAAATTTGCATAGATTTTAGAGTGCTATTTTCATGCACGCGAGCTTGAAAAGTAGCCCTTGAAAAATAAATTATATTTTTTTCCCTGTAATATAGTTAGGTGATGGCGATGGTGTTTTTGTAAGTAATGTGGTCGTAAAGTAAAACTTACAGCATGTTTTCTACACAGGGAGTAAACCGTGTACAGTGTTGACAACCGTGATGCTAATGCGGACGACGATGACTTGGCTGCCGGACTCGCGAGCGACGACAAGAAACCATTAGGTACATCTTGCGCGGCGTTGGGAGACATCATCAATGACTACCTGTCGTGCGCGCGTGCGTGCGTGCGTGCGTGCGTGCGTGCGTGCTCGTACGATGTGTGAAGACGATGTGTGGCGAGAAAGATGTGACACGAAGGGAATTCTTACCATGTTGTACGTGCGGTATAAGCTGGATTACTTAATACCTATTTAACAGATTAACTCCGAGGGTACGTTACTTGCTAGTATTGAGGTGTAAGCGTGGGCGATCGAGACTTATAACATGCGTTTGTTGCAGCACTTCAAATTTTCTCGACGGTTATTCGTAATTGCATATTAATGTATGCGAGTAATGAGCAACCGACTGAGGTGAATAAATATAATAACGTGTACGAATGTTTAATTTGCGACATGGATAGCATGTGATCCGGTCGTGTTTTATTTTTATTCAGAGAAGAACACGACCTCGCACATTGCTATCGGACAAACGGGGAGGCACAGAGTGTGATGAAATCAAGCAGTAAGTCTGCGACACAGCCCACGGCTGCCAAGACAAAAACTACAAGTGCGGTCACATGGTTCGCACAGTCTTGGAAAAGTCCTTGAATTTGGGGTGAGTCCTTGAAAAGTACTTGAATTTTTGTAAATGTTGATTTTGTGCTTGAAAAGTGCTTGAATTTCATGAAAATGTCCTTGAATTTTTAGAAAGAATCCTTGCTTGTAATAAAAAGAAATTTTGTACCATTAATAATGTGCAAACCTCAATAAAAATTGCGTTAAATGAGCTTAAAAAGCTATAGACACGATAAACAGTTAAATGATGATCATAAATTACAGTAAGTCAGTAAAATCAGTCAGTAAATCAAGGTATGTTGTAGAAGTGACAGTGTTTAGAAGGGTTTATTAATGTGATCCAGGTAAGTTTTAGAG